AAAATATCACACTGGAGGAACAATGCAAAAACTGTTATTAGACCTAATTTCCAAATAAGTCTATATGAGACGCCAAACACACTCTGTAGGGAAGTGCACAGAGTTTCACACCAAACCACAGACAGGCATCACTCTCATCTTCAGCGTGACAATTTCAGTCATGCCAGGACCCATTTGATGTAACATTTCTTATTGATATAAAAATCTTAAAAATGAGGACTTATTATTTGAAACTGTTCTGATGTTCAAACTGCTGAAGAAAATGATTCACCTGATTTTTTTCCAGTTGTGCTTGTGGTGTCTAGTTGGTAAGTTATAAATGTTTTATGGTGTCAGTACGTACAGAATCAATGAGAAGATTTTGCATGCACTGTTAATGTCGTATAATGATGAATGTGAATCAATCGATGTGATTAACAACTCAAGTAAGCAAAACAAATGTTTACCTTTATCTTATCTTATCTTACTAAAAATGTTCACTTATTTTGATTATGCATTGAAATTCATGTCAAAGGGTTGTTGCAATTATTTTTTTAAATAATTAAAAAAATTGTTTACAACTATTATTTCTGTTTGTGCTCCAGGTGTTTCTGGAGTGAATGCAGTGAAGTCAGTGTCAGTGACGGAGGGAGATTCAGTCACTCTACACATACAGAGAGACGATGAGATCGAGTGGCGGTTTGGACAAAAGAACATTCTCTTAGCTGAAATCAAACAGAACAATAAGAGCACATTTTATGATGGTAGTGCTGGTGGGAGATTCAGAGGCAGACTGAAGCTGAATCAAACTGGATCTCTGAGCATCACAAACACCAGCACCACAGACTCTGGAGATTATAAAGTAACCAGCACTAAAACAAGGACTTTACTCAACACATTCAGGCTTAGTGTCTATGGTGAGTATAAGCTGTTCGGTATATATTCACCCTTTAACATTGTCAATCAATGTCAAAATTAGTCTGATAATGATAATATAGATTCATTTGTGCAGAAACAAATTTCAGCTGCTCTTTGTATCATATTGCTAATTAACCAGATGAACTATCAATGTATACAAATCAAACTCTCTAAGACTTCCAACAGATTATTTTCCATGCATCATTTTAATGTAGGCCTACACATGTATATTACGCACAAATAAGACAATTCACTGTTTTAAAGTCACAATATGTAAGATTTTTTTTATTAAAATATCAAAAACCACTAGAACAGTGTTATATATTTTGCTGACTTGTGTACTTGCATTATCCCAGATGTTTCGAAGAATGTGTAAATCCAGAGAAATAAGCAAATTTAACTAGTGACACGGACCGTCTCACTCACCCTGCTTCATTCTACTACGTTAATAAAGCATTAGCTCATCCATGAACATGACTTCTGCCTGAGTCCCGTCGGATTGCATCGGCTGTGGGGATGAAGACCACAACTCCCATGATTCCACACTCAGTGTCATCAAACTAGGCCTTTGCTTCTTTGTTTGTTTTGAATACGCGCCCTCTAGCGGTGAAAAATTACATATTGTGCCTTTAATTGTCTGCACTTGAGCTGCACACCCTTATCACTCATTTCTAAGATTTCTCAACCTTCACATTGTCCCAATTCGCCTATGTTATTATACTATGCCATAAAAGTATATACTCATTTTGTGAATAAAATTGCACACTTTTAAGCAGAAAAATCATCGCTGCACAGCTACATCCTATCGCTAGCAGTCACTCATGCCGATGGAAGTCGCTGCATACATGTAAAAAAAAATTTTTTAATTTAAAAAATGTTTTCCAGGTCATCTGCCTGTTCCTGTCTTTACGAGAGACTCTCCACAGTGTTCATCATCATCAGAAAGGTCATCAAAATGTCTGTTGCTGTGTTCAGTGTTCAATATAAGTCGTGTGACTCTCTCCTGGTGCAAAGGAAACAGTTTATTGTCCAGCATCAGTGTGTCTGATCTCAGCATCAGTCTCTCTCTACCTCTGGAGGTGGAATATCAGGATAAAAACACCTACAGCTGTGTGCTCAACAATCCCATCAGCAACCAGACCAAACATCTGGACATCACTCAAATCTGTTCAGGTACTGTAGCTGTGATATTAGCGATGATTTAGCCAATCTATGGTCCATTAATCATGCTGTGCTGGTGCTGTGATTGATTTTGAGTATTTCCACAATAAAACAATGCAAACATTGTACTCTCCTACTGACCTCAGACACTAATGTCCCTTGCTGTATTTTCCCCAAACTACATGAATCGTATTTTTGGTTTTCTAACGTTCTTCTAATTCTTCTCTCATAAGACTGTTGCTGTTGTGGTTCTACTGAGGCTGTGAACCGATTTGTCCTCTCTGCTCTGGTGGGCGTGGCCGGGGTGGCCATTCTGGCCATTCTGGTTTATGGATTCAGAACCAGAAATCTTCAACAGAAGAAGAGCGTGCAGACAAGAGCAACTGACACCGATCCATCAGACGTAGATGTCCTTGAATGACTGGAGCCATTGTCTGACAAGAAATCCTTTAAAGAAATATCATTTCAATCCGGTGGAAAAATATAAGTTTGGAACTGGAAGGAAAAAAAGCTATTTTCTCTACGATTCATTAGCCGATTTAGGTAAATAACTAACCGATTATCAAGATGCAATAAACAAACCAGTCTGTTTATGAATACAATTTTAAAACGGTTAGGAATATACAAGTTTGTAATAACAAGCAGCATAACGGAGTGTTTTTGTACAGCTAAAATAACTAGGCTAAGCGAATTACACTTGCAGCCTAGGTAGGAGAGGAGGTAATTCTGACTTTGCTATGACAATCTGGCGCTTCTGAATCAGCGACGTTTTGTTAGTTTTGTTATTAGTTTAAGTATTTGCTATTGACTGTTCAAATGCGGAGTTTTGCGCATCGGTGTGTGTGTGTGTGCGCGCGCGCGCGTGTGTGTTTGTGTGTGAGAGAGAGAGAGAGAGAGAGAGAGCCAGCATCACATCACAGTAGTGTCAGCTGTCTTAACCGCGGCTTGTGTACTGCATCATTACTGTGTCTGTTCCCCTTTCGGGCTTGAACTGATGGTAAAACTAATGACATTATTTACTGTCTTTACATTTATT